ATTGTGTTTATTCTTTTGTCTCTAAGAAAACTCTTGAATTCAAAACACCCACTGTTTCTTTTTAAAATAAAAAAAATGTAATAACATTAAACCCATGAAAAGACAACCTTACCCATCTTCTCTCCCGCTACACAGCAACTGTTCTCAGCTTACACACTTACCTTCCAGTCCTCATCCAAATACAGGCATATTTTCATACCACTGTAATGATGACGTACAATATTATTTTGCATGTGCTTCTTTTTTCATTTGCTCTTATGCTGTAGACATTTTTCCAAGTTTTATATTTTCATCAAATTCGTCATTTTAATTGCTGTATAATATTCCATCAAGTCAATGACCATAGTGAGCTTAGATATTGCTCTATTTTTTAGCAATTGTTTCTATTCTGCTAATACAGATAAAATAGCCTTGGCTATTTAAGTCATTCATGATGTACTTAGCAGTTTAAATGATTTCTTTTAGAGACACAAACTCTCATACACATAGAACCAAAAGGGCCAAGGGGGCAACTAACCCTGTTGCTCATTGAGGAAGACTGAACCTGTGCGCTGAACACTACTCATCACACAAGTCATCCTCCTGGCAGCGAGAACATGGCCCCATGTGTGCCAAGCAGGCTGCAGAGCCACGGATGGTTTTGACGAAACTTTTTGGTGGCATTCATCCAAATGGCAGCCATAGCAGCATGTTTTTGTTTAAATCACACATATAACAACATTTGAGTGCTTCTATTAGTGAATTCTTCAACTTTCCTGGGTTCTGAGTAAATTTTGGAACCAGAGGATCCATTTGTAGGACTAGGCTTGCTTGGGAATTTATTCCTTTTGATATTAAGAGTAGATTTTGTTCATCTGTTATGAGGTTTTAGCACATGCTGTTCTACTCTGCCCGGAAAGCCTCCTTCACAGGACCGACTCTCACCCATCTTTCATATCTCAGAGTAAAATATCCCCACTTAGGAAAGACTTCCCTGACACTTCCTCTCCCAACCAGGTCAGTTCCCCCTAGTATGTGTTCTCAGCCTTTACTGAACTTTCCCTTCATTGTTTGATCAGATTGTAATTAGGTATACTCATCTGAGTATCTGATGTCTGTCTCCCCCTCTAGATGTAAGCTCCACGGGGTTGGGTCTGTTTTTGATCACTGTATCCCAATGTCTAGCACATAGTAGGTAGTCAGTAATATTTGTTGAATGAATTAAATGTCATCAGGGACAGCCTTTAGGTTAATTAAAGAGGAGAGAGGAGAAACCAAGAGCAAGTTTGGGCTGTCTCAGCGTGGTCCTCGTCTCCACTTTCAGGAAAAACGTGATGATTTTAACAACCAATAAATCAAAGGCTTCATCATAACTCTTCTTTCTAAAAATAGTCTGGAGCATTTGCCTTCAGTTTTTCCTCCCTTCTGTACTCTTCCATGATACAAACATGCTTAAGGTACCTATTCACTTCTGTTTCATATTTATATTTTCCCTTTTCTTATAATACTGTACTCTCTTGAGGGCAAAGTTTGCTTTTTCCTTACCTCATATTTGCATTACCAATAATGCTTAGGATATAATACATATTCATCAAATATTAGTTCCTTTATCTTAAAATTCATATGGAATCTCAAAGGACCCCCAAATAACCAAAATAACTTTGAAAAAGAAGAACAAAGTTGGAAGTCTCACACTTCCAGATTTTAAAACTGATTACTAAGCTACAATAATTTAAAAAGTGTGGAAATGGCATAAAGACAGACATACAGACCAATGGACTAGAATAGAAAGCCCAGAAATATATATATATAGTCAAATGATTTTTAACAGCAATACCAAGAGGGTACCAAGAGGGTACCAATGGGGAAAGGGCAGTGTTTTCAACAAAGAATTTTGGGAAAATTGGATATCTACATGCAAAAGAATAAAGTTGGACTCCTACGTTACACCATTTTACATAGAAATTAACATAAAATGGATCAAAGATCTAAATATATGAGCTAAAACAATAAAACTCTTAGAAGAAAACATAGGGGAAAAGCTTGATGGTAATGCATTTAGCAGTGATTTCTTGGATATGACACCAAAAGCACAGGCAACAACAAAGATAAATTGGACTTCATCAAAATTGAAGACTTCTGTGCATCAAAGGATACAACCAGCAGAGGAAAAAGGCAGCCCATGGAATGGGAGAAAATATTTGCAAATCATGTATCTGATAAGCGGTTAATATCCACAATGTATAAAGAACTCTTATAATTTAATAACAACAACAAAAATAAATAATCCAATTTTAAAATGGGTAAAGTCCTAGAATACACATTTCAAAGAAGGTATACAAAGAAGATAAACAAATGACTAATAAACACATGAAAGGGTACTCAACGTTACTAATCATTAGGGGAATGTGAATAAAAACCACAATGAGATATCACCTTATACCCATTAGAATAGCTACTAATAAAAACAACAATAATGAATCAACAACAGAAAATAACAAGAGTTTAAAAAGATGTGGAGAAATTGGAACTTTTGTGCACTGTTGGTGAGAATATAAAATGATGCAGCCACTATGGAATACAGTATAATGGTTCCTCAAAACAAAACAAAACAAAACAAAAACAAACAAAAAAAAAACCCAAACAAACAGAATAGCGTATGATCCAGCAATTCCACTTCTAGGTATATACCCAAAAGAATTGAAAGCAAGGACTCAAAGATGTATTTCTATACCCATGTTCACAAGAGCTAAAGGTGAAAACAACACGAATGTCTCCTGACAGATGAATGGATAAACAAAATGTGGTGGATACATACAATGGAAAATTATTCCATTAAAGAGGAAAGAAAAGTCTAACACATACTACAACATGGTTGAACATCACGCTAAGTGAAATAATCCAACACTAATGAACAAATGCTGTAGCGTTCTGCTTATATGAGGTCCACAGGGTAGTCAAGTTTATAGAGACAGAAAGTAGAATGGTGGTTGCCAGGGACCACAGTGAAGGCAAAATGGAGAGAGTTGTTTAATGGATACAGAGTTTCAGTTTCACAGGATGCAAGGAGTTCTGTGGATGGAGGTAGTGACGGTTGCACAACTATGTGAATGTACTTAGTGCCACTGAACTCCATAGTTAAAATGGTTAAGATGGTAAATTTTATGCTATGTGTATTTTGCAAGAGTTGAAAAAAACAGTTGCTTTTCCCACTCGTTGTATCAAGTGTGAATCCCCTCAGAGCCTGGAATGGTACCTGGCATCTAACATGCTTCAATAAACGTGTAAGTGAACAAGTATCCAGAATCCCAGAGGCGGAAGGGACCTCCAAAGCCATTTGTGGAGCCCTCTAATCAGTGGACGAGTGTCTTCCACGATTCCCACTTTTGCTGAGACACCTCCAGGTTGTAGGACACTAACCAACTCTCAGAGCACGTCACTTCATTGCTGTATGCTTCTTTTTCACTAGAAAATCCTTCTTTAAGCCAAGTTGAAATATGACTTTCCAGTACTATCTCTCCATCCCCAGTGGTCCTACCTCTCTGCCTTCTGGACCTAGAGAGAATAGGTCCAATTTCTAGCTCACCTGACCACCCTTGTACAATAAAAGGCAGAGCCCTGTGCACTAGGAAAGCAAAAGCCTTACCTCAAATGCATCTTTTCCAGCCTGGAAATACTCCTTTTTTGTTCAGACACACACTAAAAAGTCTCAAAAGGAATAGCTGATCCTGATTCCGTCTAGGGATTCACCAAATGGCAAGAATACGGAGGCAACAAGTGACATATACTTGGGGGAGGGGACTCTGATCATCAAAGTTTAGGTGTAGCAACATGGACGGAACTAGAGGTTGTCATCCTAAGTGAAGTAAGTCAGACAGAGAAAGACAAATATATGATATCACTTATACGTGGACACTGCAAACATGACACAAACGAACTTATTTGCAAAACAGAAACAGACTTACCAACATAGGAAACAAACCTATAGTTACCAAAGGGGAAAGTGGGGAGGAGAATAAATTAGGAGTCTGGGATTTGCTGGTATAACTACTATATACAAAATAGAGCAACAACAAGGTCCTACTGTAGAGCACAGGGAACTATATTCAATAGCTTGTAATAACCTATAATGAAAAAGAACATGAAAAAGAATACATATGTATAACTGAATCACTATGCTGTACACCAGAAATTAACACAACATTGTAAATTAACTATACTTCAATGAAAAAAAAAAAGATTAGGAAGTTTTTAGCCTAGTAAAGAGAAGTCTCAGAGAGATACTACCTGTCTTGAGGACTATTCTATGGAAGAGGAAGCTTTGGGGTGCAAGTCTGTGGGAAGGCAGATTCAGCTTAATTGTAAGAAAAGACTCTAGAATTGTTCAAGCACGAAAAACTCCCAGAACAGTAAGTGACATAGAGCAGATGTTCAATAAAGTGTATCGATCATTGTTATTATCAGGCCCCGGCTTGAACTTCATCAACCCTTTGAGTTCAGAAAATAAACACACACACACACACACACACACACACACACACACACACACACATACCATACGCCACTCTGGACTTTCTGGCACTATCCATGCCTGGCACAGAACACACACACACACACACACACACACACACACACACACACACACATACCATACGCCACTCTGGACTTTCTGGCACTATCCATGCCTGGCACAGAACATTCTAGAAGGATTTCTGTTTTTAATACAGATGCACATAGCACAGCTAGTTAAAAATCAAACAACTGTAAAAGTGATCACTCTTGAGGAGGGACGATGCAAAGACCTTCGGTCTCAGACCCTGCTCACTCTGGAGGACCTTAACACCTGTTTCTTGCCATTGGGCTGCAGCTGGTTCTAACCTGGTCCCTCCCCGGGCTGGGATCCTCTGACCTTTTACGTCCTGGCAATGGCTTCTATGCGTTTTGGCAGTGACTGAATGTCTGATTCAACCCCGATCTCAGCCTCCTGGGCTTCCTCTCTATCCCTTCTGTGGATGGCCAGGGCTGTTGCCGCCCCTTCCCTTCCTGGAGCAACCTGTGCTTTTGAAAAAATGACCATGCCGAAGGGGAACTAACGCTCCCAGCCTGCAGCAGCTCTTGTCAATCTGATTTTTAAATGATGGAGGAGGTTTGAGGATGAGGCGCAGGGTGGCGTTACCTTCTCCCTCTCTGGGACGATGCAAAGATCAAGGGAACAGGAGGAGAGGATCTTCTGAATGTGAGCACATTCACAGCCCCAGAGGACAGAGAGGCATTTAAAGTGAACTGGAACAAACCTGCAACATCAGGTGCGTTCTGCCTTCAAAAATAGCTGCCAGTTAGAAAGGGTTATTTACATATTGATTTCATGCTAACTTTGTAATGGAATGTGCTGCCTGCCTGCCTGAGCGGGCTGCCTGAGACCTAACAACTGTCATCATAATTTTTTCTAAAAATACAGTCAAGAGAAAACACTCAGTGAACCCCCCACTGGAAAGTGGCTGCTGAAGACCCTGCATCCCAAACTTACTCCCTAGACCACAGCCAAGGGCAAGGATACTCAGCATGCACCGCTGAGGGAACATTTCACAGCTACAGCTGACCCTGCCTACCTCCAGCCAGCCTGCACTCCAGTTTTTTTTTTTTAATCATTCTAGAAAACCTGTCTTGTGCTAAGGTGGGGGAGATGCGTCCCCCTACAGAGTAGCCTTCATGGAAACTCCAGCTGGACCCTGAACAGAAAGAATGGATGCAAAAGGGGCTGGAGTCAGCCCACCAGCCACAACGCCCCACTGTGGGTGCTTTTCTGCCTCAGTTTCTCCAAAAGGCTCTCTCCTAAGGACCTCCTCCTTCTAACAGCCAGCTTCCAGGGTTTCTCAGTTGGGCTCCCTCCAAACCCCTCAGGTTTGTCCCTGTGGGACCTACGAAGCTGGTCCTTGGCAGGGCTGTCACTGCTCTCCAGCACAATATCAGCAATTTAAATGCCTCTTTGCCAGGCCTGACGGAGCTGATTCGGTTGTGATCTTGGGCATATGGATGGCATATTTGCTGCGAGCTAGGTGAGACGCGTCCCAGGAGGACCGCGCCAGCCCCGGCGCCGCCTTCCCCAGCCGCTCCCGGGCCGGCGGCCGTGTGAGCAGTTAACTCGGCTGGAGCCAGCCGTCACTGCTGCCCACTTTTCTTCCAGCCGGCCTCCACTGCTGGGGACAAATCTTTCATTCATGAAGAGGAGCTTGTTAGGCCAACTCGGGGACTCTAAAGCCACTTAATTAAATTGTGGAAAGTCGCTTGGCCCCGGTGGGAAATTTGCACACAAAGGCACGGTGTCTGGCGCGCCCTTTCCCCCAAGCCGCTCACAGCTCGCAACAAAACCGCGACCCGGCCCCCAGCTCTCCCGCTCTGCTCCCAGCACCCCCTCATTAGAGGGCGTTTGTTTGGGAATGTTTTCCCAGCGATTCACTGACAGGCCTTTCATTCCTCCCTCCGCAATCAAGGGTGGCAAGTGAGGGCTGAGAGCCCTCCAAGGCCTGATTGCTGAAAGAATTTCCAAAAGTAAAGAGTGTAAACAGGTACCATTGAAAAAGCCTCTTTTGAACAATTATGTAAACATTCCAAACACTATTTGAAAACTTTCACAGTGGAACTGTCAGATCGGAGCATTCTTGTTTAATTGCCTGGGCACAATGGTTGGCCTCCGGTTGTCCCAGCTCCCTGCAGACCCAGCTGGGGGAGGGTTTAGCTGGACGTGGGGGCTTCAGATAAAGAAGTCCAGGGAACACGGCCATATACAAATGAGTTTCTCCGCCAGGCCAGCGGCATCTTTCTGTGTGTATTCTCACTCTCTCGGCTTCTAGAAGAATCTCCTGGGAACAGGGCAGGTGTCTTCTGCCTTCCGACAAGATTTCTCCAGGACCTGGGCCAGTGCTCTGCACACAGGGTCAGTTGATGAACTTGGATGAAAGAAGTTTCTAGATTCACTTCCGTGTCATTTAAGGTTTTCTCCAAAGCACCGAATGATCACTCAGAGATGCTAAGCAGAGCTGTTGGCAGCGTTCCCCTTGCCATGGGAATGGTTTCTTGCTTGTCTTTCTGCCTTTTCTCCTGTAGTTTTTTATCTTCCTCTTTTTTTTTTTTTGCAGTTAATTTAAATGTTTTTTAAAATTATTTTTATTTTATTTTTTTATTTCGGGTGAGAGATAATTAGGTTTACTTATTTTTTTCATGGTGGTACTGGGGATTGAACCCATGACCTCGTGCAAGCTGAGCATGCGCTCTACCCTCCCCCATTTCCTCTTTTTCCATGCAGCCCAGATTCTCACAATTCACTAACCTAACTGCCACTGCCCCTAATCACGTTACTAGGAGTTGGAAGAGTTTAGGCCACGTGAACAAACTGCTTAATCTTATATTCATGGAAATCCTGAGATTTCAGATGACTTTTCATTGATGCCCTTCTTGAATCAGGATAACCAGTCTCCAGTTATCTGGCGACTGTTCAGCCTCTGACCACCAAGCCTGGCAGGGTTTATCTGTATAGGAAATGTGGTCCTGGAGGATGGGACCACAGTACTTTTATTTTTGTATTTTAAAATGTGTTTCTTAAAAGCCAGCGGGGAAAGTCTACATGTTCAACAAAGGGGATTGGCAGATCAATACAATAAGGTCCTACGGATGTCTGATATGAAGTCCCAGTGGAGACATGGGAAGTATTATGAAAACAAAGTAAAAACTCAGGCCATAGAATCATATTTGCACTCTACCGGGAAAGACAGAAAAACCACGTCTCCAGGCGGTAAAGGACTGGAAAGGGCCACGGTGGAATGAAAGCAGTCATTCTGGGGAGTGGTAGTACCATCGTGTTCCACTTTGCAAGCCTATCTTTAACATCATCGCGTTGTGTTGTCAAGGCAGGGTTTGGGGATACAAGAAAGCACCCGTGTACATACAAGGTTAAACATAAAAGGCTACCCCATAGCCCACAGAGAGATGTCCACACCAGCCTGCAGCACTGTGCATCCTTACCAAGGATATGGATCAGAGCTTCAGAGTAAATTCCTCAGGTCTAAAGGAGGAGCTGAAGCTTGCCTGCTCACCAAGTCCCTGGGAGGCAGACATAGAATCACAACTACAAGATAAATCAGAAATGTGGCTGGTAGAAATGGCAGTGCTCAACAGGGTCAGTGACAGAGCAGGAACCAAAGAGAAAAATCTCCTCTCTCCATCTCATGAGCTCCCTGGATACAGAAGGGCTCAAAGAGTGTCTGAATGTGCCTAGCCACCAAGCTTACTCCATCTGACTGAAGTCAACACTTATTCATCTGTCCTGGGCCAGGGTCTGTGCTATAGATTGGACATACAAAGTTGTGGAATTATTTTGATCCCCAAAGTTAATTCACAATTAAGTGAGGAACCAGCATCTTCAAAAATGCATGGAGTCGATTGGGTTTTGACAAGGGGGTCAAGGCAATTCGATGGGCAAAATACAGTCTTTTCCACAAATGACGCTGGGACAACTGCATATCCACACACAAAAGAATGAATTTGGACCCTGCCCTCACACCAAATATAAAAATTATCTCAAAATAGAGCAGGCATAAATGTAAGAGCCAACACTATAAAACTCTTGGAAGAAAACATGGGTATAAGTCTTCATGACTTTGGATCAAGTAATGGTTTCTTAGGTATGACACCAAAAAGCACAAGCAATGAAAAGAAAAATAGATAAACTGGGTTTGATCAAAACTTAAAATGTTTGTGCTTCAAAGGACATTATCAAGGAAGTAAAAAGGCAATCTACAGAATGAGTGAAAATTTTACAAATCACCTACCTAATAAAGGTCTAGTTCCTAGCATATATAAAGAACTCGACAATAAAATGACAAGTAACCCAATTAAAAAATGAGCAAAGGATTTAAATAGACATTACCCCCAAGAAGATAGACAAATGACCAATAAGCCGATGAAAAGAGGCCCAACTCCATTAGTCATTAATGAAATTCAAAACCACAGTGAGATACCACTTTACACCTACCAGGATGGCTACAAAGACAGACAATGAAAACTACTGGCAAGGATATAGAGAAATCAGAACCCTCATAGATTGTTGGCAGAAGTGTAAAATGGTGTAGCCATCATGGAAAACAGCTTGGCAGATCCCCAAAAAGTTGAATGTAGAGTTACCATATGGTCCAGCAATTGCATGCATGAGAGCTGGAACATATGTCCACACAAAAACTTGTATGTGAACGTTCACAGCAGTATGATTCACAACAGCCAAAAGGTGTCAACCCAAAGGCCATCCACTCATGAACTGATAAACAAAATGTGGTACGTCTATACAGTGGAACGTTATCTAGTCATAAGAAGGAATGACATGCTGATACATGCTACAAGCAGGAGACAGAAGGCTACATATTGTACACTTCTCTCTTCATATAAAATGCCCAGAATATGCAAATCCATGGAGAATAAAGTAGATTAGTGGTTGCCAGGGGCTGGGGGAAGGTGGAATGAGGAGTGACTGCTAAAGAGTACAGAGTCTCTTTTGGGGATGATGAGAATATTCTAAATTAGGCAGAAGTGATGGTTGCACAGCCTTGTGAGTCTACCAAAAACAACTGTAGGCTTCAAAAGAGTGAGTTCTATGGTATGTGAATTATACCTCCGTTATTGTTGTGTGTGTGTTTTAATGCCTGTGAGAAGTTCTGCAGACTGTAAAGCACTGTACCCCACACAATCTCTGCAGCAGGAGCAGGGGCCCTAGGAATTCCATGGCTGCTCATCAGCCTAGTTTGTGAGTCTCCTCGCAGCTTTCCTGCCAGCAGTTCACCGGGATAAGCTAGCACTGTAGCCAACCTGGGCTTCTGTGTGACTCTAGTCCTCCAGAAGGGAGGAGAGCACACGAGATCTAGATCTGCTGATCCTGCTCGCTAGGATGGGAGCGTGGGGAACATACAAGCACCCTGCCTGGAAAGCCAGCACACACAGAGGGGTCAATGGTATAAAGTCAAAAGCAGAGGGCCCAGGCCAGAATTCCAGGAGCAGGGTAATCCTCAGCAGGGACCCCTACCTCCACCACCACGACATCCACTCCCCATTGATTGTGTTCATCAGCTTGGGCCAGGCTGTACCTTGAAATCCTGTGTGTGGAGACCTCCTGTAGGGTTTATGGAAGATCAGGCCAGCCTAGGGCACCAGGGCATCAATCAGGGGGAGCAGGTCTAAAAAACTGGGCTGATGGAGCCCTCCAAGGGAGGAGCTCAGAAATCTCTCAGCACCTGTGCTGGTCCTGGAGGCCCTGCGGGTGCCTTCCACTCCAGCAAAGTCCTCTCCAGAGTCAGCTCTGGGTCTACCTGGGGCCATGCCCTACCTTGCTGGTCCTGGCATAGGTCATGAATCTTCAGAAATTCCTGAGCATGAGACTAGAACATCTGTGTCCCAGGCCCAGCCTCACTGCTTCCTTTCACTTACGACAATAGGGCAAAGGGTGCCTTTCTTACTACCTTAGAAAAAGGGTGAAACACAGATGCAAAGTACATTGGAAATGACCCTGGCACACATGGGACCCTGCCTCCCTTTGGAGAGGTGTGGTGGTGTAGGGGCAAGAGCGCTAGGTTAGGGGTTTTGAGATTCTTGTTGGCGTTTCAGTTCTCATCACTTAGAAATTCTGTGATGTACAAGACTCCTAATTCCCCTGAGCCTTGATTTTCTCAACTATTAAATGGAACTGATCGACCCCATCTCACAGAGATGTTGTGAGGATTTCAGGGACTGAAATTTCAGGGAAGATTTTAGCATTGTCACCTGCAGGTCCAGGTGATCTGTTAGGGAGTGATACATGCTATACACGTGACCAGCCTAGGAAATTGCGTGAATAATGGGAGAAGGAGGAAATGGACCAACCAAGAGCAAGAACATTCACTCTCTGTGCCTCAGTTTTCTCTTCTGTCAAGTGGGCATCATGGTGGGACCTTAGCATAGGATTGCCATAAAACATAATATATATGAAGTGCTCAGAACCCTGCCTGGTTCACGGAAAGCTCTTAAGGGAAGTTAGCTATTGCTGTTGTTGCTATAATTATGAATGTCATATATCAGTATTATATTCTATAAATAATACAATACCAACCAAGAGGGTTTGACACACCTGCCTCCACTTGGACAACGTTGATTATCCATTCCACAAGGGCTCTCCATCCCAGGATCCCTGTCAAGGGTGAATGACTCACTTGTCATTTCAGCTCCCTGCCTGAATACACATCTCAGCCGAAACTGGCTTCAGTTCTC